ACGTAACGCATGTTCCAACTACCTTAATCGATGAAGATTTATCATCATATGGCCGGTCTACCACCTATGCGAATCAACCTATCCTCTACTTTAAAAATATTTACTCGATTGTAAGCCCATATGCGAGTAATATTTTGAAGTCATAAGTGGTCAAAAACATTTAGTTTACTAATGTTCTACTTTTATACACCAACTACAAAAGCAAACCGCTGTGGAGTGCGTACGCCCTTTCATAAGAGGACGGAAATCCTGTCAATCCCACATATGACGCGAATCCGCAAACGCTAACCAACCTTGATGAATTCGTCAGACGTCATTTCATTAAAACTGATGAGACTTTCAACACATTCAACTACTATCATCCATATCACTAGTATAAGAGTTGATGCAGACCAGATCTGAAGCAATGTCTTGCATTTAAAAGGAGAGAAACGCATCCCAAACATAGTTGCCTTGTTGCTCAAGGTAATCAACAGAATGTATTTTATTAGCGCCTGCACCAAATAAGACTATATAATTTGAGTATTCTAAGTTCATAAGCAAACCTCTTATTGAAAGATAAATCCCCCAAAAGCTTTATCTATAGAGGAATATCTATGGCAACGTTAAACTAAAATGTGGAAAGTGGACAACCCTGACAAACACCACATGTAGTTGAAAATTTTGGCAGTTCATCGTAAGTTTTGAGTCACCAATAGTGTTCGCGTAGAATCTTCATAGGGTCTATGTTTTTCTTTGGTATCTCTTTCAATGGAAGACAATGCCATGAAATATGACTGTCAATAAAGTTGAATGCTGCCTTAAGGTCAAGAAAAGCGATTATGATCAAACGTTGATAACTACGCCAGTGTTCTAAAACCAGAGGAAGAGTGAATATTTGGTCAATACATCACGTCAAGTTCTGAAACGAGAATGTTTTTCCAAGATTTGGTCTTCACAAGCCTTGGTTGAGTGTCGGGTAATTAGGGATACTCGTATTATGGACACTACTATACACACAATAAACCGATTCCACTATGGTTATTAGATTTTCTTCCTTTTATATAAACTGGAATGATTATCGGTCGAGAATAGTCAGATAGAATTATGCTTATCTCCCAAAACCATAGCTATTATCACAGTCAATTAGGCCAGTAAAACCAGGTCACATTCCTTAAAGATTTAATGGGCACGGCCGAGAGTAGGGAGAGTCCGCTCTCCCTCCCGAAATGCTCTCACATGGCCACGCGTATATAGCCTCTGCCAGGGAAGTTCTACTAACTGCCTTCTTGTGGTGGGGTGTTGTTTACGAAATCGAGAGGACGAAAAGCGAATGTCCGGCGCTTTAACCGTGTTGGTGGACACGGAAAGTCCACCTAGGGGAGTTGGAAAACACTGATTCCAAACCAATGCTGCACATGGGCTCCAGTATCCTGAGGGAACAAATGGCATATGAATCAATCGTTGGTCACCGGCTACCATGGGATTGCATCTCCTTACGATGCTTCACTGCCTTGTGGATCAGACCATTAAGTCAAATGCTCAGATGTGGTCCCCTAAGAAAACCACCTGCTTCAGTCTGGGCACCTGGGCAGTATCACAGCCCTCACACAAACTGAAAGGGTTTGTGTGGTGCATATGTATCTGGTGCCCCTTTGTACCAATACCTGTTTTTAAATGAATAAAGGGTTAACATATCACGGTCCGCTATTTGCCGACGGACTTTAGTAAACATTTGAATAGTTTAACGAATGTTAGACGAATCCCGTACAATCTTTTACAGTAACTACGACATTTAAAGAAGCTGTAAATGAATGACTTTTGCACTACATGACGAGGAAAGTGTATGACTGAGAGGATCTGAATAGCAGATGAATTCAAACCAAAGATAACTAAGTTTCAGATTCCAGCTTACGAAGTGGGTTAAAAATAAAACCCAAATCACTTTTCATTTTGATTACTTGTTTTGTGTCCAAATAATTATTAAACACAATTTATTCACAAATCCCAGTATGTATTTTTGAAGTATGAGATAATCTTCAATGAAAACTGATGATTATTCAATAGAATTCAAAAACCAAAGAGTACTAGATAAGTATTATCTTCTGAATGTAAATTTATGAGCCATATGCCTAAATGGTATTAGTCATAGATAAACCTTATATTCATAGTCCAGTAAGCTGCCTTTCAACTAAGTAACGACAAAGCGTGACTTAGTTTACTAAAACGCAGGTATCAAAAGATTCGAGCAACGAATGGTTAGATTTAAAAAGGAGAATTCTCATCACAAACTTGAACATCTGTCCTGAGGTTACAATGTTCTTGGCACTGAGAGCTAACTTTAATAGATGTTGGGTTTTTAATTTAATTTTTTACCAATATATAGGCAGGATAAAAATGGCATGAAAAAAGAAATCAGGTTTAAGAACGTACCTATCGCCATACGTAAAATCAGTACGCTTTGTCCTGTGAAGGGTACACAGTAGAAATGAAAACCAACTTAAGTAAAAATTTTATTGTGATGAGAATTATTTTCACTAAAATATCATATTAGTAACAAAGATATTATGGTTACAATAAGTAAACGCGAAGCTTATAAAAGATATTACTAAACAAATGGATCTGAGGTTACATTGACTATTTTTCCGGAAAATTGGAATCAAAAGATCAACCAAAAAAATATAAAACTGCTGAATTATGACAAGAAATTCAGAATTCGTGCTCAAACTGAGTGCTTGATAAATGCGCAGTTACATTTAGCACACTACTGTTTAAATGCAATGGCGTCAAATCCCATTAATTTTTAGTTACATGCACATAAGAGTGAAGTTCTATTCACAAAATGAATTAGTAATTTAGTGGCCCCTAGTTTTATTTTAAAATAAGTGACTGTAGAGTGCAGATTCGTAATTGATGGAGTGAAGTGAGAGCTAATCTGTTTGATAGACTATTATACACCGTTTCGTTTTGTCAGTAATCAATTAATAGAGTAAAATGTTGAGTTAAGTATGTTAGAAATTATATTTAATGGCAACTACCAGTATAGGTTTACACAAAAAGTAGACAAATAGCACCGAATGATGAATGCAATGGGTCAATACACTGAGCATCAGGTATAAACCACATAAATTAAAAATCAACACTTATAAAGTGAAGCATAAGACGAGAAAAGGATTTTAAAATGCACTCCGTATTAAAGTAAATTGAGGTTCAGAAATACATACTCAACGACTGAATGAGAGGGCATCGTCTGCCAGTCTACCCCTAAAATTTATTTTCCATACTGACCAGTCCTTTGTACTATAAAATCGAATCTCTTTAACGTTTGTGCTCCGTTTACACCGAGAATCTAAGCTGCGCTAACCAACTGGACAACTACTGAGTCATCAGTTTGTTGGTAGACCCATAGAGTAAAGTATAAAGCAGACAGTGACAAACTAATGTTTCTAAGTTAATAGAAAATCGCACGTGAGTTCCTACATGACAAAAAAATTGTGAAATCCATTAGAATATGACTGTGAAAACGGTCTGAAAATTTATATACAGTAGAAAACAATGTATGTATTAGTTCAAGCTACGTAAATTATATAATAAAAATGACATTTATAAAAACAGAATCGAAATATTTGAACTGTTCTGATTTATGGCAAATGTCTGAATCTTTCACTAATTGGAAAAGAAAGCTTGACAAATCAAACATCTTAACTTCTAAAACAGTCTGTAGGAAAAACAAAGACATGATGAACAGTTGTGAAATCAGCATAAATAACTCAAATAGCAGCATGTACCAGACAATAAAATCGATTCCCCCACTACATTTTTAAATGTATGGGAGCCAAATAATTGACTACAATAATAATTAGTGTGGTTCATCAAAAATGAAACTATTGAGACGGTACAAATAGGCAAATAATCAAGAAATGTACCATTTTTCTTATTCTAACACAATCATTCATGCAATGACAAGAAGATAAACCGCCGTTTAAGTTTAGTGGTTATACACTGCGTATTTAAAGACTTATGCTTTTTGAGGCGAAATATGACAGTTCGAACGATAGCTTCCCTCTCAGGGATTAAAATTTTGGGGTCCCAAGGTGTAGTGAAAGTTGACATTGATAAAATAATAACATCAATGTTACAATATGATTTTCACTGCTGACGAATTTGATTATTTTAAGAACACTTGGATGGTTAACCAATTGGTATAAGAACCTATTCATATACCAAACAATCAAGTTACATTATTCCCGACAAAAAAAACTACACAACATTCTAGGAATAATCAAACTGTTATTCATAAATATATTAATAACAGTGGTCAGATGACATTTATTTAAAGTGAGGTTAAATATAACTCACTCATATAAAGTCTCCTTGTAAGAAGTTTCTTCTTCCCAAACGGAGTGACGAGTACTTACACTTGTTGATGCCATTCCTGACTGCATTTCATTTTGAACTTCTTTAACTGTTGAATTGGACGGATTTGGTCGCTTCCAGATATCGAACATTTATTCTAGTGAAAGTAATACCGAATTTCAAAGTGGCACTGCGAATGCGAAAAAATTCTGACCGGAAAACTTTTGCTTTTATGAAGATTACCGTTATATTAGCAACTGACAATGTAATTTAATTTAGGAGATAATAGCCAAGTAAATTTGGTTCAGACTATTAGTTTCTTCTGTTAACATCATTGATATTATATGAGGCCATCTCCCTATAAAAAAATGTTTTTAAAATCACTTGGAAAAGAAATGTACGATTGATTCATAATAAGCAAGACAATCTAACTATTGCTGATATCTGACTACGTGAACTAGTGATTTAAAAAAAAAGGTTTTTCATCAAAAGAATCACACTTAAGTGGTTACCATTTGATAGATATGATGTTTTCAATTTACTTGTTCAAATCCAACAATCGATTGCAGACCCCTCATTGAAAAATTTAAGCTAGCAAACTAACTCTAAGTAATGTTAAACTTATAAGTTCCAGGAACACCAACTTCCATACACATAAGATATAATTCTGTAAATTTGGTTAAAGGATCGAATAATCAACCTAACAATTACAATGTACAAACCATTGGGGCATTTTGAATGCAAAAAACTTAGTAACTCAAGTTGTGGCTCTCTTAATAAATAGACAGTTTAATAACTATGTATAGTTGTATATAGTTATATAGTTCAAGCTATGGAGAGGGATATGACAACTTCAATGAATGTTGAAGTACATATGTATCGTATTTACTGACAAAAAATTCTGCTTCTATGCTTAGTAAATGAAGGTTAAGTAATTATTAGTCAGCCGCCACATTTTGTTTACCTGCTAGCAGAACTGTGAAACAGCAACTCTACAGACTAGTCACTCATATACGGATAGAACACTAGTTTTGAAAACTACGAATATTAGACCTAGATTTCTAATAGAGGATGTTTTTCTAGTCAGTTAGAGGTTAGTTCTCACCATGAACAGAAACCAATCGAACAACTGACTAGTCCACGATGATTCTCTGTAGTTTAAACTTGATGTGACGGGGAGAACTGAAGGATCCTTGCTTGCTTCTTAAATTTTATTTTCACCCTTTATCAATCGTTTTATACACTATCATGATTAGATACTATTTATTTTAACAACAGCTTAAATCACCTAACAGTTCGGCAGTTGGTGATTGATTTTATTTGTAGGTATCTGCTTACTTGGAATGCGATGATTTGACAGATAAAAAATTTTTGACGGCCACCACAATAATTCCAACGTTTTAATAACCAACACAAATCTTCAAACACTGAGGACATTGATAGAATAACCGGGTGAAACACATGGATAATGGGAAATAGTATTTGTCCGTTTTGGGCAGTTAAAAACATTTTAAAAAATTATAGGGAATGTAAAGTGATAGCACTGTTTATCAGACTACTTTATTGAGTAGTTCTAAATTGAACTTAAGTTAGGAAGCAAACAACTTACAAGAATTGTACACGATTCAGTAATACAATGAATGAAATTACAGTATGCTAAATGAATCGTTTATACGTACTACTAAGTTAGCTCAATAATTAACTTATTTAAGAATATATGGGCAATGACCTTACAACTATGCTTATTATCAGCGGTAGTAAATACATTATGAGCCTTGCTTATTGAAAGAAGCAGTGGTTGAAAGTCCATGCAAACTATCGATTTCAATTTTGGATTCTATTGCTACAACACTTCAGGGTTTCATTGAAAAGAAACAGAATTTTCGGTAGTAAACACACAGGAAACGAGTATAACTAAATTGTCCCTATTTTACTAATTAAGAACACAATAAATTTTAGTATTATAATATTCTAAATTATTCAGAACAAAGAGTCGATGACGAAGAAAAGAACTAGAGTTTATAGGGTTTATTTCCTTGGATGTCAAAAGTCAGTAAAAAGGTTATACCCTTTTTTAAAGTGATCCGCGTACATATAAATGGGAAACAGAAAAAAACCGATATGCCATAAAACGAAAAATTTACTTGTTTCCTCGATTGTTAAACTTTCGTATGTTTCTCTCCCTAAAGATTCTAAATAACCATAGACTTTCAGACGCTAATCCATGAGGAAACCGTAGCTAGGCACTGTCTTAAAAGTCCCAATACACGACGGAAATGTTAAAAGAACCATGGTTTTCGATGTCTACTTGTAAAAAATCTCATTTCGAAATCCAAGTTTGTCGGGATAGAAGACAGCTTAGAATGTAGTCATTGCTGGGTTCGAAGATGCATGTTCCAGTATATTTAGGATCAGTTAATTTAAGGTACCTACATTATCGTCACAACTCAAAACCTGAACCTATCCCTTGAACAAGATGAACCTTCAGCTATCAGACCCATAAAGGTGAAGGAATCCAGAGCCCTGATAGCCATATTTAAGACATAAATTTTCCTAAGATGAAGTTAAAACCCAGATAAAGCAGCCCACTGATAATCAAAAGAGTATCCAGTGTTATAAGAACAAATGCATACACAAAACAAGCAAGCAAACTGGTTAGCTCGAACAGTTTCTAATTGGGTCACTTTAATTATGAAGTAACACAACGATGAAATTATAATCAAGTGAAAAGCGAAAATCTCAAATAGAAACTATATTTGCTCTGTTATTTATCCTGTACACAATGCATATCTTACAAGTTACCAAAATGCAGAAGAGTTTATAAAGATGACTACACAAAATATTCAGGGGGTATATATATATATAATTTTTTACACACTATCTGAGGGCGAAAAACATAGCTTGTTATCCGAAGTGGAGTAATTATTCACCAAGACCTGCTGATAAGTTGAAAATAAATGACTGATTAAATAAGTTGTTTCTTTTGGTTTGATGTACTCGCATGATTTCCGACTAAACTCATATCGGTCAATATACATTGTCAGTGAATTATCTGAAGGTAATTTAGTTGGAGGAACATGATTATGCACTAAGTAGAACAAAAGGAAGTCTACACAGAAATTTGTCAAACAAACTTCCCATAATGAAGACGGTTGACGATCTGAAACTAACTGGTTCAAACATGTTATACAATCGGGATTTATGTATTTCATCCAGTTATCACTATGATTTTCGTATGGTATTGTTGAAGTGTCAGATTCCTCTTGATGATAATTAGCCATAAGAAAAGAAGTCATCTGGCCAATATCTAACAATAATAAACTGCTAATCAAACCGGAGCAAGACGTTGTCTCAGATGACAGAAGACGTGAAAAAGCATCAAGCCAACGTTTAAGGAATATTGCTTCCGTAGGAAATAGCTTAAAACCAACCGTTAAACACATTGAAGCTAAACGAAGACATTCGCTTGACAAATAATCCAAGGATGATGTATTAAGTAATAGACTAATACCAATCCAACACCACGAAAGTTGTTCAATTTCTTTACCAGGTCGCAAGTTGGAAACTTCAACTTCACGGTGAACCATATTAGTGGCATTCAGCCATTCCTTCTTTCCAATGTTGTATATAATAAAAAAGAACGACTTTTCGTTTGAACAAGAACGCTCAATAAGTCGTGTAATGCATTTCTCTGCATATTTCCAGGATTCGGACGGATTTAAACGTAAACGTGCGAGAACTAAAGCTTCTTTAACTCTGTCATAACTTAACAATAATTCAACCGCTTCTTGGACACGATGTGCGCATACCAAAAGTGTAACAGATACAAGAATATCAGGACTAGCAGTTTGCATATCCTTAATCTATTGATTTGAAAAAGATATGAAGAAACAATAACAAGCAACCTAATACAACAAATAAAAGAGAAAAAAGATTAAACATATTAATTTAGGATACATTATAGGTGTGTACAGTAGTATCCATTATCTACTGAAAAAACGTGACGATTATGTTTAGTAAGAAGGATTGTGATATCAACAATAATGTTAACTCACTGAATCACTAAACACTAAGTAAACTGTATTACCTTCGTTCTTTTCACTAAGCATATGTTATTTTAATTAAAAACTTCGATATGATTAATAAGTTCAACAAATTCATTTCACATTCACTCATCGCAGTTTTAATTTGTCACAGTAAACCTGGTAAATCACAAATCCAAGTTTACATTTTCACAAGTTAGTAGTTTTTCACTTTTACAAGGTTTGATTCTTAAATATAAAATCAAAATCGTGATCCATGTGGACCGCAATTCAACTTTTGGAAATACCAGTATGTTCAAGTAAGCAGCCAAATGATACAAGTGATTTGAATGGTTTTACCTATTAAGATAACTCTATCTTTATACTGAATATAACGGCCCAGAAAAAACGAGATAAATCGTTAATGCCTAAATAACCCAAATCTCGCTTCCAAAAATAGCTGGTCAGAGTGAGGTAATTGTCAAATAATAGTATTCCACAGAAGTATATTAATGTAAATTTGTCACTCAGTCGGGATTTTCAACCACTTAATTTCGCAGGTTCCCAGACACAATCACTAATAAATATTTGACGGTTTAGTTAGTATAAACAACCTTCAAACAACAGGCATATGTCTGGGACACAAACTTCTAGATGACTGCTAACTTACGTTAGTTGTCCGTATTGTTACTCTTCATATATCCGACAGTCGATCAGAGATCTTAATTTTAGTTCCTCATGTTTACTTATTCAATCTACAAAATTATTTGGTCAACTAATGAAGAAATTTCTTAAGTTGGACAGAATACAGTGTGCCATTTTCAACACAAAAATATTCTGAATGAAATATATTGTCTGCAGTTACTTAATACAAGTATATATATATATATATATATATCCATGATCACCGAAATCTCTCTTTGGAATACTCTACATGAAATGAACAAAGAATAAAACTTATTACCTGTTTCTCTAAGTTACCTGCTAATCTAAGACAGTCTATAATATGGAAATAAAAGGAATAGAGCACGCTTAGTTCTGCTCATCGCCATCAATTATTGACACATACGTTTAAAACCATTACATCCAGCAGAAATATTACAAAATCTAAAATAGGTTAGCAAAACCACTAAACATCATATAAAAATATATCAAAAATTATAAAAATTCCCATATTGTGAAGTAGGACAATATATATAAACGAACAATATTGTTTTCAGTAAGATCCTCATCAGGGTTTTACTCGAATATGCAGTAATATTTATATGCGTATACTGAAGTAGTAAACCAGTTTATGAGTCAGTGACGACAGTGGAATGGATTACATAAATAAACATAATAAGTAAAAAGTACCAATTGATAATGTGATGACAGATGTACTAACTGTGATAAGAATAACAAGGCTTGAGTCCATGTTTCGTGATGGGAAATAGGTTAATGACTTGAGTAATATAAATGCTGAAACAACATTCATAAAAACTATAAGATTACGTAGTAAGAAGTGCTCATATAGTTGAACAATGAAGAGTACATTTGAAAAAAGGGGAAGCTAAGGGAAGCTAATAGGAATACGACGAATCACTTTTAAAAACAGACAAAAGGAACTGGAATCATACTAACGTGTTTGACTGCCAGAAGGAGAAAACAGAATGCACTATGTTCGCGTTAGAGATAAGACATTTTGGTGGTATGTGAGAATATTCGATCTCCATAAAATCTTTTCTAACTCCGCCTGTAGCTCCTCTGGGGGTTGCTGCCGGTCCCAAGCCCGGGTAAAGGAGGAGGGTTGGGCATGCGGTTAGCGACCCCATCCCGTAGAAAATCAACTCGCTAAAAAAACGCTAACCAGAAAAAATCATTCAAACCATTCAAACTCTGCCCTGGGAGTAGAAGGAATAATTATGACGTCTCATGATGAAAGCCGAGTTCATTCGGAAGTCATGAGGCCGATGCACCTTCTTACAACCAGAGCGACAATTTTTATAGGTACATGGAATGTCCGGACAATGTGGGAGACCGGAAGAGTCTTCCAAATTGCTGCAGAAATGAGAAAATACAACCTGGAGGTGCTTGGAATCAGTGAAACGCATTGGACGCAGTTTAGATAACAACGACTGTCTTCAGGAGAACTTCTGTTATACTCCGGTCATGAAGAAGAAAATGCCCCACATACACAAGGAGTTGCATTGTTGCTGTCCAGAAAAGCACAAAATGCACTTATTGGATGGGAATCTCATGGACCAAGGATCATCAAAGCCTCCTTCAAAACAAAGAGAGACGGCATTACAATGAACATCATCCAATGCTATGCGCCTACCAACGACTACGATGAAGACGCTAAAGACCAATTCTACGATAGGCTGCAGTCGATCTTCGAGAAGTGCCCAACCAAAGACCTGACCATTCTGATGGGAGATCTCAATGCCAAGGTTGGAAAGGACAACACTGGATACGAAGACGTCATGGGACAACATGGACTGGGAGGAAGGAACGAAAACGGTGAGAGATTTGCAAACCTATGTGCCTTCAATAAACTGGTCATAGGTGGCACCATATTTCCACACAAAAACATACACAAAGCCACTTGGATTTCACCGGATCACACTACACAAAATCAAATCGACCATATCTGCATCAACAAAAAGTTCAGGAGGATGTGAGAACCAGAAGAGGAGCTGATATAGCATCCGATCATCATTTGCTGGTCGCCAAGATGAAACTAAAACTCAAGAAGCACTGGACAACGGTGCGGACAACATCATAAAAGTTTAATACGGCCTTTCTTCGAGATGCTGACAAACTCAACAAATTCAAGATAGCCCTCAGCAATAGGTTCCAGGCCTTTCATGATCTACTCAATGGAGAGGGAACTACCATGGAGAGCAACTGGAAAGGTATCAAGGAGGCAATCGTTTCAACATGTCAGGAGGTTCTGGGCCAAAAGAAGCACCATCACAAGGAATGGATCACTGTTGGTACACTGGATAAAATTGTAGAAAGATGGAACAAGAAGGCAGCAATCAATATCAGCCGAACAAGAGCGAAAAAAGCCAAGGCACAAACCAAATACACAGAGGCAAACAAGCAAGTGAAGAGGAGCATCAGAACCGACAAACGTAAATATGTGGAAGATTTAGCGATGACAGCGGAAAAGGCTGCAAGAGAGGGAAACATGAGACAACTGTATGATACAACAAAGAAACTTGCTGGAAATTACCGTAAGCCAGAAAGACCAGTGAAAAGCAAGGAAGGCAAAGTAATCACCGACATTGAAGAACAACGAAACAGGTGGGTAGAACACTTCAAAGAACTCTTGAATCGACTAGCTCCACTGAACCAACCCAACATCGAAGCAGCACCCACGGACCTCCGAATCGATGTCGGCCCACCAACAATTGAAGAGATCAGCATGGTCATTAGACAAATCAAGAGCGGCAAAGCAGCGGGACCAGACAACATCCCGGCAGAGGCACTGAAAGCAAATGTAGCAGCAACTGCCAAGATACTACACATCCTCTTTAGTAAGATTTGGGACGAAGAACAAGTACCAACAGACTGGAAAAAAGGACTTCTTATCAAAATACCAAAGAAAGGTGATCTTAGCACGTGCGACAACTACAGGGGCATCACTCTCCTCTCAATACCAGGAAAAGTCTTCAACAGAGCATTGTTAAACAGGATGAAGGATTCCGTGGACGCCCAACTTCGAGATCAACAAGCTGGATTTCGTAAGGATAGATCGTGCATAGATCAAATCGCAACTCTACGTATCATTGTGGAACAATCAATCGAATGGAATTCATCACTCTACATCAACTTCATCGACTACGAGAAGGCATTTGATAGCGTGGACAGGACAACACTATGGAGGCTTCTTCGACACTACGGCGTGCCTGAGAAGATAGTTAATATCATACGGAACTCCTATGATGGACTAAACTGCCAAATCGTCCACGGAGGACAACTCACCGACTCGTTCGAGGTAAAGACCGGTGTTAGGCAAGGTTGCTTACTCTCACCCTTTCTCTTTCTCCTGGTCATCGACTGGATCATGAAGACGTCAACATCTGGAGGAAACCACGGGATACAGTGGACAGGCAGGATGCAACTTGACGATTTAGACTTCCCAGATGATCTGGCTCTTCTATCACAAACGCAACAACAAATGCAGGAGAAAACGACCAGTGTAGCAGCAGCCTCAGCAGCAGTAGGTCTCAATATAAACAAAGGGAAAAGCAAGACTCTTCGATACAATACAATATGCACCAATCAAATTACACTTGACAGAGAAGCTTTGGAGGATGTGGAAACCTTTACATATCTGGGCAGCATCATTGATGAACATGGTGGATCAGATGCAGATGTGAGGGCGAGGATCGGCAAAGCAAGAGCAGCATACTTACATCTGAAGAACATCTGTAGCTCAAAACAATTGTCAACCAACACCAAGGTTAGAATTTTCAATACAAATGTCAAGACAGTTCTATTGTATGGGGCGGAGACTTGGAGAACTACAAAAGCCATTATCCAGAAGATACAAGTGTTTATTAACAGTTGTCTACGCAAGATACTTCGGATCCGATGGCCAGACACTATCGGCAATAAGTTACTGTGGGAGACAACAAATCAGATTCCAGCGGAGGAAAAAATCAGGAGGAAGCGCTGGAAGTGGATAGGGCACACTTTGAGGAAATCACCCAATTGCGTCACAAGACAAGCCCTCACATGGAATCCTGAAGGTCAAAGGAGAAGAGGAAGACCAAAGAACACATTACGCCGAGAAATAGAGACAGACATGAGAAGAATGAACAAGAACTGGAAAGAACTAGAAAAGAAGGCCCAGGACAGAGTGGGTTGGAGAAAGCTGGTCGACGGCCTATGCTCCATTGGGAGTAACAGGCGAAAGTAAGTAACTAAGTAAATAAAATCTTTTCTGAACTAGATTTTACATAAAATTTAAAACCCAAGTGGAAAAAGGATTAAAGACAGAGAAAAGTTACTAAAAAATGATGTATAGTTGCTGTATAAAGACAGTCACTAATTCTAGCCGAATGTGAATTATCTGAAATTATGACTCGTAAGAGAAAAACGATAAATTGTGATAGTTAAATATTTAATCCATATAATTTTTAAATTAGTAAGTTTTCTTTCACAATACATTTTTTTATTGAAAGTGCTGGTACACTATGTATTTTCAGATATGATTTTAATATTGGAGCTGAATGGACTAATATACATAGTAAACGGTTGATATTCTCTATCCCATCCCAACAGACATAAGACTTTCACGAAGTTTTGCTTTAGAGTGATTTGATGACATGACTTACAAACATTTAGACATACAAACTCGTGCCAGCCATTGCATAAATAACGAAGTACCAACCCTTTTCATCAAATAACATTTTTAGTCTCGTAAACGTGACTGGTTACTGAAGTTGTTACGCCATCATTTTGAAGTACTGTATTGAAGAAAGGATTTTAAGTGTGTGCGGAAATTTTATTGTTTTTTGGGATTGCACAATTTAATTTAAATGTAAACACATTAACTCACCTTTTCACCAAGCAAGTCAACCTCCACGACAGGATTTTCTTTTGACACAGTTAACTTATTGTAATTTCCAGGATAGGCAAGAGTTGATTGAGCTAGTTGAATTGCATATAATAACCAAAAAGGCATGTGACCTTCTGTTGACATAACAGGTGGGATACTAGATATACAACCTATCCATAAAAGTATGATGCAGTAGGCATCCAAATGAACTAAACTGTTTGGTCGTTGACCGAAATGGAACAACTTTAAATGATGAGATGCTTCCATTTTTAAATACTTTAAAAGACATGTTCTGGTTGCGCTAACTTCTGGCAAGAGAATCAACAAATCAGTTGGCAGTCTCTCATCATCCACTTTTTCGGTTATGAAGTCAGAGACACTTAAAATGTGTGAAAGAAACGTTCCCATATTAAAAGGCGGAGAATGATACAAGTTAAGTTCACATTGTTTATTGATACTGAACTGAAATAGGTTAGGAAAAAGAGCAGGTCGTTTCCTTTTTTCCGCCGTTCCAGCAGAATTAATCTTTCTAGAGGAATTCTGAGATAGAACAGATTGTTCCTTATGAGAAGACCTGGTAACTTTATCATCATTCTTTAACGTTATTTCTTTATTTGATTTTTCTTTCAGAGCTTCGGAACTAACGAATGAATTTGCTTCCGACTGAAGAGATTCGCCAGAAATACCACCATTACATAGTTCTTCTTGATCACTACTTACAAGTCTTTTGATAGTTGGTGGTCGATGTCGGCGACTATGGGGTGGCTGGCTATGGATTTGTTCAGAGGGTCGCCAACCGAATAGAAGACATAACTCCCCACCGCTAAAAGCAAGATCAGGTTCTTGACGACTCCATAAACATGTAAATAGACGTAGCCTGTGTGCACGAAAATTAGATATTGATAGATTATTGTTTTCAATGTTATTAGCATGAACTCGCCAAACATTAGCTGTACCATCAAAAGAAGAGGACAGTAAGAGGAAAGGATCATGTGGACACCAGTCTAAACAGGTTATTCTGTTGAAATGACCTTCTAATCGTGCCAAACAAGTAGACAGCTGAACAGGTTTGAGATGTTGTTCTTGGTTGAGAGCATTAAATAGGTGTATCTTGAGATCAGTAACAGTTATAAAAGATTCGTTTGATGCAATAGCGAGCCAATAATAATCCCTTGACCAAGCTAAACAATTGACGCACTTAGAATGACTCACAATACGGCAAATAAAGGACAGGTTATTCGACAGTTTCGAATTTGATAAACCATAAACATCAACTTGACCTGAACGATAGCCCACACCTATCAAGTAATCAAAGGTATCAGGAACTGGATCAGCTGATGTCTGTTTAGTTTTACTAACAGGGCGGAATGCTATATCACTACGAATCAGGGTTTTCCAATCTTCCTCAGTGGTATTTGGAGGAGAAGGAAACTTCATGCTAACTTCAACTGGAGGGCGACCGCCTCCAAAATGACAGTGGATTTTTCCTTTACTTACACTATAAACATAGAAAGGAAACTTAGCCTCGGACTCTGTATTGCACCTTACATTTTCCTCTACAGTTGTATTTGATAAAAGTGCAGAATTATCAGGTTCCAAATGACTTTTAGTTTCGATCTGTTCATTTTTGTGATGCGAACCCGTAAATATTATAGGCCCCCAAGCAACTCGGTATACGGTCGAACCAAACGCGTGCAACTGTGGTTTCGGCTTTTGATTCTGTATTTTCTGTAGCTTGTTAATATCGACGATCTCCACACAACCGGATTCGGTCCCATAGGCAAGGATGTTTTCGTACTGCGGTAAAGGATGCCAAGCAAGAGCGGTTATAGGGGATGACTGAGATCCCCGAGGTGATATTGAAATAGATTTGTCCTTACTTCGATTGTCAAAGGAAGTGTTACCATCATTCATATTCGGTGAATAAACTTTCCAGAACAAAATAGAGCCATCTGAAAGCCCTGCGACTAAAGGGCTATTACTAAATGAAGACTGAGCCAGAGAAAACACCCCTGCAGAAAGTGTCGGTAGTCGCAAAACAACTAACGGGAGGGATTCTTCAACTAACTCCCACACAATCAGAACTCTATCTTGGCTGACTGTAATTACTAGCCCAGGAGAATTAGGAACAAACAACATTGAAAAAATCAGCATAGAATGTCCTTGATTTTCAGGTGTTATGTTAATAGGTGCATCTGAGCAGCTCCAACGGAATAATTCACCCCGTAATCCCGAAAATAAGATATTCACCATCGAATTCTTCCCTGTGGTGTAACAAGCAGATATCCATGGGGCTCCGCTAACATTATTTTTCTGATTTGAACGTTTTCCAGAATCATTTGCATGATAACGTGACTGACCAGGAACTTTGGTACAAAAACAGCATTCGGAGGTGGATACATTCCATACCTGTTTGTTAATGGTAATTTAAATTATTTATTAATCGTCGTTAGATATGTACATGTTTTGCAAAACAAACCATAGCATCATAAGTTGTATAAGTAAAACTGCATAAAACAAAATAAGGTGTAAAGATTAAATATTAGACACCATAATTTTGTCCCACATAAAACCATAGATAAATGATTAAATGGCTACAATAAGAAATATTGGTTTATATCTTTGTGTCTAAGCCGCTACTGGATTATCTATTACTCTAATAATACACTTGTACAACTAAATTCGATAGTACTTTCTCGCAAAATCGAAAATGACCAGTGACCATTGGTTTAAACAAGTTGGAACTCACATTTATGTTAATACAAGCAAAGTGATAATATCGGCAACCTTCACACTATAGTTGTATCCAAAGCCAAGTACACATTTATTCGTTCACGTTGATCGATTACTTTTGTGTTATCAGTATTTACTAAGACCAGCAAAAAATTTCAGAGCACCCAAATGCACTGGTACGGCCGAGAGTGGGGAGAGTCCGCTCTCCCTCCCGAAATGCTCTCACATGGCCACGCGTATATAGCCTCTGCCAGGGAAGTTCTACTAACTGCCTTCTTGTGGTGGGGTGTTGTTTACGAAATCGAGAGGACGAAAAGCGAATGTCCGGCGCTTTAACCGTGTTGGTGGACACGGAAAGTCCACCTAGGGGAGTTGGAAAACACTGATTCCAAACCAATGCTGCACATGGGCTCCAGTATCCTGAGGGAACAAATGGCATATGAATCAATCGTTGGTCACCGGCTACCATGGGATTGCATCTCCTTACGATGCTTCACTGCCTTGTGGATCAGACCTTTAAGTCAAATGCTCAGATGTGGTCCCCTAAGAAAACCACCTGCTTCGGTCTGAGCACCTGGGCAGTATCACAGCCCTCACACAAATCGAATGAGTTTGTGTGGTGCATATGTATTTGGTGCCCCTTTGCACCAATATTTATGTGTTCTAATAAATTAATTAATTAATGGTTTTCTTCAGACAAGTATCAACACACTTGGTGATCCAGATTAAAAATCGAACTTGGAAATAACTTGAAGTGGATTTTAACACGTGATGTAAGCATCTAATTCAAATTAAGCGAGTGAAGTATCTTGTACTAAGGTATATCTTTTTAAAAAAAACATTATAGGAATAACCAGAAGAGTTGCTTGACGTTATTTCAGCTAGGATCTAAGTAAGTTTATACCAATAACATAATCTAGAACCGGTACAAATATACTGGGATGAAAATTTCTATACTTTTAAAGCCCTACTGAACTGAACGGGTAAGCAATATCGATCAGAAAAAATAGGTGGGTTAAAAAAGATGAAAACCCAGCTTATCGGTCTACAACTATGGGCAAACTAACAAGAATGTAGTAGTAAGAGTTAGAATATTAGTGGATTGAAAGTCATGAAATAGTTCACCCATTAATATTCAGACGAAGATAAATACATGCTAGTCTTGAGTCGTAAAAAATATGCGTAACCACCTACATCCTAGTCCGGTTACGATACCTACTGTAATATAACTAAGTAGTTTCTTAGGACTTTAACACACTCTACTCGTTTGGCTTTTATCAACTAACGTCACCTAATGCGAAGAAGAGATATCCGTCTATCGATTAAGGGACGAGTATACTGTGCGGCAGTTCGATCTATTCTACCTTACGGCTGCGAAAAGTGGCTATTGAGGGTAGAAGATTCTCGTAAGTTACTAGTATCTGATCACAGATGTCTTGGAAATATTGCTCGCATCTGCTGGGATCACCACGTAAGTAATAGTGAGGTTAGACACAGGGTATTAGAGAATGGTGGTAAATCAGTTGATGAGATTAAGGATCTTCATCGACTGAGATGGTTGGATAACGTATTACGCATGCCCAACCACCGATTACCACGACACGCAATGCTGACTAGTGTTGGAGATGGTTGGAAGAGACTTAGGGGCGGCCAAACCAAAACATGTCACCAGTTCTTGAAGTCCCTAACATCTAGTCTGAGACATGCTGGCAGATGCAGACTACTTGGTTGGTGTCCGCGTGACTATCGTAACCAATGGTTGGCGATTCGGCTCATAATTGATCACAATGGCGTAGGTGTATACACTCTTAGTCTGCCCTTAAACATTCAGATTAAAATTCCCCTATATCTTCCTATACTTCTTGTACTTTATAATCTTTCTTTTATATATTACCACCATTAAATTAACTACTACAAATTCGGTGTTCATTTTGTTGTGCTAATGGGGTATGGGAACTTAGACCGATGCATATATGTGCCTGGTCCTACGTTGTAGCTAACTGACTGATACCTGATTCGCATGAGGTAATGAAAATAACAAATCGAATAGTAAAGAAATCGGAGCCACTTTAGATGATGTCTCTCCTTATGACTAAAATTACTGTTTGCTAAAAATAAACGATTGTCTGAGCATAGTTGCAACAGACGGTCACCATTAACTGTTCGCTGAGCCGGAATACTAAAATACCTACATAAATGTCTTTCTATTTGGTTTAAGTTACCTACTTGGGGATTAAAGTCACCTGCTACGAGTACTATATCTGAGCGTTTAGGTTTATGTAGAAGTTCAGAGAGCTTTCTGTAAAAGTCATCTTTCACTTCATCCGGGCTGCAGTCGTGTGTCTCTATCCTTCTGAGTTATTACAGAGCCGTTTAGCCGAACACCACATAGACGACTGTTAGCGGGAATCCACTCTAATAGTGCTTGTTCTGCTCTCGCACTAAGTGCTATGCCTACATCTGCCAGTCCACGAGAATTAGCCATCGGGTCGCCAGATAAAAGGAGGGTGTATCTCGTCGGCTCTCCGTTTTGGCGAGGTGAAGTCAAGTGAATGACCACACTAGGATCCTGTATGTGTGTTTCGGAGACACAGCATACATCAATTGCAAGAGATTCTACGGTTTTAGCCAAGGAGGCCTGCTGGCCGATTTAACATAGGGTGCGTACGTTGAAGGCTCCAATGTGTAGTTTGGAGCGAAGTTTCAGCAGACCTGAGAGTGTTTTGTGCAATAGAATCGTTGGCTATGGCGACACTTGAGGAGGAAGCCAAAAGAGGAAGTTTAGTGTTGAAAGTCAAGATAGGAGGAGTAATAGGAATTGAAGGAGATTGATCGTGTATACAGTGATCGTGTGTGCCGTTAGAGGTATGAGGGTGGTTACCACTTCCCGGTGGCCCACACCGTGGAAGGGTTCTTCCGGAGGTACCTGAAAAGGGAATTGGATTAGAAGTGGTCTTAGTGACCTGAGAGCGTGACCACAGTACCCAAGGGACCTTTTTGTGGGTAATTTTTGTGTTGGCTCCGTACTTGTAGGGACTTTACTGCCGGAGACGGATATCAGTGGGATGAGGCGAGGTGTGCACTTTTAGGGTCGACCTTTTTTAACCCCACACCTCCTTGTGGGAAGGCAGCATCGTTGTTATGCTGGTTGTCTGAAGGAAACACCTTACTGCCGTCACAACTCTGTACAGTCAGCAGTACGCCTTCGCCTTCGGACCTTGGGTTTGCTGCTTTTAGTCTCACCGCTCTTCAATTGACCTGTCTGGCGTGGTGGGACCTTGAAGAACGATTGTCCCAGGCAGTATAGCTCGATTGGTTCATCACGATAGGCAATCCCGACCACCATGTCATGGTAGCAGCAACGGTCGGGACTGAAAAACAATTGTTTTGTGTTTCGGTTTTTCTAACAATGATATACAAACTACGAATAGCAGTTATCACAGTTTAGCCTTCAATGAACGATACACCAAATATCCAGACCGTATGTGAAAACCTAATTATTCAAGTCATAAGGATGTATATGATCTTGGTTACAATATTTTAGAAAAACAATCTTATAATCAATACGTTAACCAACTGTTATGTAAGATTTTGGGACACGTACAATACGAACAAAGTCGTTAAGTACCAAGTAGATAGAACCATTAGAGTACCACGAACAGTAAGGAAAGTAATTCTGGAGCTAGTTTACAGGAAACTTGTTCACTGTATCTTTACATAATGAAAAAATGAAAAAAGGTGGATGCTAAATTCATATTCTAAGGCAGTCTTAATGTTTCAACTATCATTAAAGACTGAATCACACTGAACTTTTAACGGATAAAGTAAACGGTAACACAAAAGATCCAAATGACAAACCAATAACCTTATTAAACCGATCAACGGTTAAACTAGTATTCGCATAACAATATATATTGATATTCTTTTACTGTTTCTGATCAACGGCATACAAACTAAGTAATAGAGATACTTGAAATGTATAGATACTTATTGTAAAGCCCAAGATTTCTTACTGAGCGAAATTCAACTATGTGAATATAGTGATGACTTAATATTCTATTACACGAACATGACTAGAAATACGACACTGGATACAACTAAGAGTGGAAAACTATATTATTGGATTGTGACAAAGATAATCAGTTTAAATTTATGACTAAAAAAAATCACGCAGAAAACATCTCTAACTAGTGACTTCGATAGATACTCACCTTGACCATTTGATCACGTCCACATGTGAGAAGCTCCGTTGGGTTGTCTGTATAACCCGAGGCACATGGTTTCCAGACTACATGACAAACATCCCTCTCGTGCGCGTAAAATCTCGCTATTTGTGTGAGATTTGAAGCTGATGAGATGTCCGATGGTTTGAACATATAAACGCCAATCAGTCCTTTCTTGTATCCTACAGCAACTCTTAAAATTGAGTAGTCAAATCCTGACTTCTCTAATGCACAGACCAGTACAGAATCGTTTTCATACTTTTTGGACAGATAATGTGTTTTATTCTTTTCACCGTCAACGATCCAAACGATAAGTAACCCCTTATCCGTGCCCACAAAATTATACGACTGGTTTGGAGAGTGTGAAAAAGAACTCAACGCAGTCGGATTTACATTTTCTCGTACGCTGTGCACGTTGAACTCACTTTCAAGCACCCAATCCGGTATTGAATATATCCAGCGACGAACCAAACCATCAAAGCCACATGAAACCAGGCTTAGAGATAGACAGACGTCAAATGTAATAGCTGAGGTCTTCTCGTGGTGGGGTTGAAGTTGGCCAACATAAGACCAAGAGTACTTATGTTTATCGCCGGAGTGAACTTCATTTTTAATACTGAATATATGTACATACGGCCGAGACGAAAAGGCTACTAACACATTTCCGCCATCGTCCAAATTTTCCCACGACGTTGCTGCCAATACGTTTGACATGAACCAATCTGGAGAACCTGGCAGCACATATCTAGCTATCTCTTGATAAGCCTAAACTAAGTTTAGAGACCAGTTCAGTACCTTACCATTCCAGTAACGCCAACTTTGACACCCCGCCGCAATTTCAATACGCAAAAATGCCCGGATTCAGATTTGTGCTTTGAAGACAGAAGGCTGATGATGTGCGGAAGTCCTGTTTGTTAAACTTCTCTTGAATGAGTGAACTAAAGGTGTGGACAGTAATCTTTATAATAGTAGGTTCAGAGAGCTGAGTACTACATGATAAAACCTGAATGAAATCTGGATTTGGCTTTTTCTCTATATATCCCTCAAGTTGTCCTGATCTTGTTAGAAGGAAATCAGATCGTAAATCAACCCACAAATCGTTCACTGGTATCGTATGAGTCATAACCAAATCACTTAATTCGCGGTAGGACTAGGTAAAGAGGTTTAGCTTCTCAGTCCACATCTCAATTGAACAGTTACATAGTCTGGGTATTACAAGAGCAAACGCCCTCTATAATTGTCCGAGGTATTTGAGTCACTTTTTAAACAGAAGTTTACGAGCTGTACATAGTTTTCAAATTCGAACGTTACCAGGGCTGTTTAAACTCTAACGGATGGGTATACATATTGGTACTAATGAGAACTAATATTAACCCTGCATAATTCTAAACCATAACTCCGGAACCATACGGTGATGGAAATTTATTTGAAAATCATTATTTATTATAACCCGTAGTCCAGCTGTTACTTTTCTTTTGAGGACTCGAACTTGGGATTTGCTTTTGTGATGCTGTCTGATAACTTCCTTAAACCATGTCTTATCCACTTCCAGAGTAGTTCCACGCAGCTGTGGTCATACTCTCTTCCTTGTACCTACTCTTACTGCTATAGTTCCGCAACAACGTCGTTTTTGTTGTACGTTCATCAAAGCAGCTATAGCATACGGATACGGATACGGGCTGTAAGATCCATTTCGAACGTTTTGTGTGTGAAAAACTCTCTGTGTACATATTTGCAACTTGTTCTTATTGGTTTCTTTAGTTGTACATTTTGTTAGTCTTTTTGAGATGGTAATATTCTATTTTATTATGGTTTTTCAATTTTCTTTCGCCTTCACTGAGTTTCTATGTTTCTTTCTCAACTGCATTTATGTTGTCTTAGTTGATACTTAGTCTTGCCGTATTGATTTGTTCCACCTTTGATTGCGCTGCTTGCGTTGACTGGGTTTGTGCATTCTTGATTGGGAATTGAAGCACTTTTCCTGAATTGGAAACACCCCATGTTAGAAAGTAACAAAATATATTTTTAACGAACTTTTACGTGATCTATCCAGAAAAAATAAAATAACATTTATTTTTGGTGCGCTCGATCAATTATTGAGGGAACAATTATTGACTGAAAAACCGAGTGGTACTATTTGTTTAGGTAATCATGTACATTTGTATTTATAGTGAAATTTACAACCGTTGTTTATCCAAACACCTTGTTTCAATTTCAACTGGTCAATAGCGCGTGCCTAAACTACCTAGATAGTTATTTTTAGGTGCAAACTATGGTTTGGACCTTGCAGGGCAATCCGCGTTAGTTACTAATTGCGAGTTGTGACTTCGGCGTTAGCTGGTTAGTCACATCACTCCCGTCTAACTAGAGTAGGTCTCCAATCATTCCACACAGACCGTCTCCGTTGGTGACCTGAATTTTTTTCGACGATGGTTGTAGCAGCTATCCACGTTTCAGCTGCATGAAATAAATCCGTCTTAACGTTTGTATTAAAAATTCTGTTTCTGATGTTTGACAGCTGTTCTGAGTTCCAGATACCCTTTAAATTTAGGACTGCTGGCTTTGCTTTGCTAATCCGTGCCTCCATATCTGAAAAGGATCCTCCTTGTTTATCGCTTATAATCCCGAGGTGAATAAAAGTTGCCTCGTCTTCCAGAGATTCACCATCAGATGTGATTTGGTTAGTGGTCTCTGCGTTGTGGTTTAGGATCATGTCTTTTTCCTAGTGAATGCTGAGGCCTACCACTGCAGAGGCTTCTGCTACACAGGATATTTTCACCCTATGTAGTAATGTGTAGTATAGAAAACCGAGGTCATCTACAAAGTTTAAACCTCTTGGCTGTGTTCTAGGTATCAACTATACTCCGTGCTTCTCCTGAGATGTCGAGGCCTTCCGTGTTCAGTCAAAATATGGAGGAAAGAGAAAACGAGGAAGTTAAGGCCTTAGTTGAGACCAGTCTATTCTCGGAATGCATCTGTGTGTTTCACCTTATTCACATCTTCACAATGTGGTTGAAATAATTCCGTATGATAGTGACAATCTTCTTAGGAGTATCACAGTGTTGAAAAAGCTTCCACGTGTTTCTGCTACCTGCTCTGTCGAATGCTTTTTCGTAATTAAGGGTGTTGATTTAGAACCACGAGTCCCATTAAACTAAACAACGATCAGCATTGTCGCTATCTGGTCGGTGCACTATCCATTATTACAAAATGCAGCTTGATCGTCTCAAATTTAGGCATCTACTGAGTTTTTGTGTTTAATTAGGCAGCACTCTGCTTAAACCTTTACCTGTTACAAACAAAGGCATAACTCATCAGTAGTCCTCATATCTACTCCGATCTCCCTAATAAGTATCTTGGTCAGGTGTCTACCTTTCCAGATTGTTAGTACTTGTTACTCTTTTCATACCTTTCTGAAGAGAACGTACAATATATTTGTGGCAAGCCTTATATCTGACTTTAGCGCTAAAGGTACTATACTCTCCCGTCATGCTGTTTTACCACTCGCAATTTGTATGAAGACGTTTCTGATTTCCTTGATCGTTGGTGGGCTAACGTTTACGGAAAAGTCTGAGAGTGTTGCTTCAATGTATGGTTGGTTTTGTTGTCAACTATACGCTTGGCTTTAACCGGGTACAACCAGGTGCTAGTCGTTGTTTCATGAACAAACAGTTCAGTGTTTCCGTTCACTTACCTTCGCTTAATTAGACTGACGAAACTGTAATGTCTGCGTAAACTCATGGTTATTGAACGCACTAATACGCCATATATAAGAATCCTCAAGTATAGGCTCATGTAAACAAACGTTGAGTCAAACGTATCATTAGGATACTCGAACACAGACACTTGATTAATTTACCACGAACTAAGCATTACTTAGCAACGACTGTTGACTGAGATTACTAAGGCCACGCTAACTTCTAAGTCTGTGCACATGGAACAATGAACCTTCCTCACTAAACTGATTTTTGTGTTTTGAGTGTTGATATCCTCAAAAGACCAAAATAAAATGTAATCATTTTCTACTGATGAACAAAACCATAGCAAACATGAATGACGGTACTAAAAGCAGATGTATTTGCAATAATCACAGGTTTGAATTTCTGGTACAATAAACATTATTTAGCAACTGTGATGACATTTCGACTTTTGCGGGTGATAGTAAAAATAGTGACTACGCATACTTTAATTAGCTATTCATACTGTTGCTGCTTTACGACTGCGAATCGTGAATACATTGGACACGATACTATACACAACGAGAATCTCAAATACGAAGATTTTTTAAGTGAAGGAGTGGAACGATGGAACCGTTTTTTACTCGTGACTTTACCAATAGTAAAACAATGTTAAGATGATGGTGTTAAAATTTTATCATGCAATTGCGGAACAGTTGGAATATGAGGTTCGATTTTCATCACACGAACCTTCTAACATCTAGTATAGGGTAATAGGAAATGTCATTCCTACACAACGTGAGGAAGTAAATATATACCTCATCTGCGATGTTTTGGTCTTAATAGAAGGTTCTTGGCTAAATCCTAAACACCCAATTTCGGCTCTTGCAAAACTTTAGTACAATTCGATGAAACTAATGATATTAATGCTGTAGAATCCTCCACAGTGGTGATGAATCACTAACAGGTAGCGTCGTACTCCTACGCGTTGCTGGGCGCCAAGTTTACTAAATGGTGGATTTTCTGTATGAGGATACAGACAATAATCACACATAGACGCTTGCAGAACCCAAATAACGAAGTAATAATTGGCAGAGTAAATAATGAATCGGAACATAGAGAAAGTCCGAGCAACGTTTGGCAAGATTCGTAATCCAAGAGATAATTAATCGGATACAGTAAGTCGAGCGTTTTAAAACGAATAAGGTTAGGACTAGTGCTGAGTATCCACAAAATTATTCATTCTAGGAAACTATTGCTTAGTATCACTCTATTCAACTTTCTGGTCTTCACCATTTAATGTAAATCCAAAACTATAACTACATTAAAGCCTGTAAAAGCATATTACACTGCCCTCGACTTAGGTGTATATGTATTTGAGTGATGTCTTTTTAAAATGCAAAGATTTAACCTTACATTTTTCCGAACACAACGATCATCTGCGGCAGTAAAGATAATCTAATTTTCCATTCATACCCGAAAGACACTTGGCTAAACCTAAGATTTTAATATTTTGCCCTACTTTTTTCATGGCCGAGGAATCTATTGCTCACAACCTGAGCAACAAACCATGTCAAAGGCATGTCTATCAAAAAGACGCACATTTGAACACCTGATGGTGATTGAAAAGGTATTATTTTCAAGCCATGGATTACTACTAGCATCATCATCCACCTCAGATGTCAAGGCGGTCTGTCAGACAAAAGCCCAAGAGTGTTCAGAATGCAATACCTAATTGAAAGGTCACCTCTGACTTGCTATTAGTTTATTGGGCATAGATCCAATGCATTTGGTTCATCTTCACAAAGCTTAAATCTTGTTATCAAGCACTTTTCTTAGCTGGACTTTAAATAGATTCCACAGTATTCCAAGGCGAATAGGAGAGAATATATTTCCACACTATAAATGGTGCTGAACAAAATTGTCTAACATCAGGTGGAAAGTCGTGCTGTCAAACTTGCCAAATATGCGCTTTAAAATCACTAGTTCAAAGTTTGCTTTCAAAGGAATTTTGTAATACCATTTGGATATTTTTCAACTGGAACACCTCTGTAGGAGAACTGCCCAAGTCTAAGGCGTAGTGCATAACATACGCCAGATGGCTATATTTCATCTTGAAGTGTTGAAAGTAGGTCCGTTATAATCCGTCAAGTTT